GGGGGGGGGCAGAAGGTAAGAGGTCAATAATTCACTACTCCAATCTATAATTTCATGCTGCCCAATAAATCCCCGACTTATCTGCGAGAAAGCCGGCCGCCGGCTTACTTCACGCGGGATTTGGGCGGGATGGGATGAGAGGGACACAAGGAAGAGAGAGGCAGCCAGGGGGCGGGGATAGAGGAAGGGGTGATAAGTGAAAAATATATTGAACTCCCCACCCTCCACTTATCGCAGGTTGCCAGTGTCGTCCTAGCATCCCGGCACGACCCCCTCATGGGGCTGGGCGGCCGTTCTACCCCCTCACCCACCCCCCTTTGGCCCCTCCCTCCCCCTTTCTCTCTCGAGTCGTAGCCTTAGACGTGGAGAAATTGAGTGCAAAGGGGACAGGGCGCGCCCGAGCTGCCTCTGCTGCTGTGGGGACCATCCACCCCTAAAAACCCAGCCACGAGCTAGGGAAAAACACAAGGAAAAATAATAATAAAAGCGCTGTATACACATGACTAATTGGGCGTTCCTATCCGGAACATCGGAAACCAAAACCTCTCTCGCGAGCAGACGAGGCGCGGCCACGGCTGCCGCTGGCGGGGATAGCATGATGACGAGTCGCTCTGAGTCACTCAAGGATGTGCCGCAGCCGCCCAGGACCCCCTCCCCACGCCAGAGTCCTTGAGCGCAAGCCTTAACGTGATGGCCGCCCCGCCACGCCACGCCCCGCCACCCGCAGGGCCGGCGGCCGCTCTCTTTCACTCAGAGTACACTCACTCAGTTTCGGCGATGAGACTCTTGCTTCTCCCGCCCGCCGCCCCCTCCCCCCTTTTCAATCGGCGACAGCCTGTGCCGCCGCCCATACCAAACACACAACACCACTCGGGCCAACATCTTTCCCCTCGCTACTGACGGCCTCGCTATTCCTCGGAATACAGGGCACCATTCTGTACTAAACAAACTTGGGAAAAATACCACCAGCAGCATGGCGGTTACTATGGAGCTTGTGTGACTGACTCACCTTCTTGAGATGTCCGTTGGCGGTGCCCAGGAAGACGACGGTGTAGTCCCCGGTGGAGGTGGCGGCCACGGCGGTGAGGTGCGTGTTGAAGGTGAGGACGGGCTGCGCGTTCACGGGGAACTCCCCGCCTAGAGGCGTGTTCACATCCAGACCGCAAAAGTCCTCGCCGATAGTTTGCAGTTTCTGGAAAAAATAAAATAAAAATCCTTTAGTCGTTGGAATGTAACAGAACACTACAGATTCTTACGAACGGAAAACGTAAATTTTCAAATGTTGATTACAGTTGAGTTGCGCTTTGCGCCCCCTATGATTGCAAATCAATCGAATTGTACTTGTAATTGTACTTGTAATTGTTCCTGATGGCGCTGGTTACGAGTGAATTTGACGTGTGCGTGCTGATCGCAGTTGTTAGTGTCTTGTAGTTGCGTGCGCTACTTGCAGTTAAGTGCATATGCCCGACAAAATGGCCGCAGAAGTTGACAGCGTTTGCAGTTGACAATATGCACCGCCGAGCGCACCCCCGACGGTTGCACACTCCCCAAATACCGAGAAGCATTTAGAGGTGTTTTTCACCGCCTCTCGCAGTAATTATTCCGAAGTGCAGCCGAAGTGCCGAGCGTCGCTGAGCGGCGCTGAGCAGTCGGAGAGACTCCGGGGGGCCCCCTTGTCACGCTGCTGCAGCAGCGCCAAAAACCGGGCGGCACGGAGAGGGAGGGTAAATATGGGGAGGGGAGGGGAGGTTTGCCGGAAAGGGATTGGCTGAGTCGATCCCTTTCTCAGCGCCTTCCAATCGGGCCTGGTTTGTTTGCTCTGCGCTGCGGGGGCGTCGGAGCAGGAGCGCCCGGCCGGGCAGGAGGAGGTTCTTGCTGGATAGGGAGGGGGAAACTATTTGGTGCGCGCCGTCGGGGGAAAATGGACTTATTCGACCTGGAGATTGCCACCGATAAATATAAAGAGCGGCGTGCCAGCCCTCCGCGGAGGCGCCCCGCGGGTGTCCTGCCACCACGCCCCGCCGGCGCCCCGCGGGTGTCCTGCCACCACGCCCCGCCCCGTCGGTGTCCTGCCGCCACGCCCCGGCAAGAGGCGAAGCGAGGGGAGGGGGTGTCTGACAAAAGCCGCAGATAAACGCATGGAAACAGTTTATTCCTTCCCCCACCCTTCCGCGCCGCGAACGCCGAGGAAGCCCCCGCGCCCCAACCCCCTCAAAAAAAAAAGAAAAGAAAAAAAAAAAACAGAAAAAGAGAAGAAAGGAAGGAAACTTTTTCGCGATGATGAGAAATTCAGCGCAACGCGAGGAGCGAGCGAGACTCGCCAAAGCTCTGCTTCTGCAAAGCGGCGCCGTCGCGGACCGACTGTTGTGTTTCCAGTTTGTTGTCGTTTGAGCTTAGTCTGACGGACAGAGTGGGGCGGGGCGGGGTGCGGCGGCGGCGCCAAGTGGAGGGGTGTGGCCGTCCTGTCTCGGTGGTGTTGATAAGGGAGGGAGAGGATGCTGCGCGCCCGGCCCCCGGAGCTGGGCGGGACTGGACCAATTGCTCTCTGAGAGAGGGAGGGAGAGAGAGAGAGAGAGAGAGAGAGAGAG